ATAGATGCCTCTATTTCTGAATGAATTGATCTAACTTTACCTTGAGTTAGAAATTTTAATTAGTATTAGCATAAGAGAGTTTGTGGGGGTACTTCTCACTCCAAAATTAATGTTCTGTCATTTAGCATGAGAATATTTGAAACTTTGGCATGATGGGAAAATGAAAATTTTTATTTTAATTCAGAATCATCATTTTTAGTTTTGAAGAAAATTTGTGAAGTCAAACATATTGAATTGAAGTGGAATTAATAAATGGTATTTGCAGGGCACATGAGTTGCTCAGTCAGTAAAGCTCTTGATTTTGGCTCAGGTCATGATCTCAGGATCATAAGATAGAGTGCTGCCTCCTGCTCAGTGCTGGGCATGGAGCCTGTTTAAGATTATCTCTCTCCCTCCACCCCTCCCCTCCCTTTATCCTGTGGGGTTCATGATGCACACTCTTTAAAAAAAAAAAAACTTTAAAAAAAGTGGTATTTGACTTATTTTTATAGTGCCTACTCATCTGTAAAGAATAATGAGAACATTTATGACTAATAGCAGAGTTAGTGTTTGTGTCAGATTGGGATTAAAATACTAACACTTAATAACTGTATTTTTGTAAACTTGTGCCTTGATAATGCATATTTTTAAAAGTATATAACTGGTCGCAGAATTTTGTGTAAGAGTAGTTCATTAAGGAAGAAAACAGCAACTTTAATGAGTATGAGTTAAAGAAAATGACACAGTAAAAGCTCTGATGAGCCATGAAAGATTGTTTGATCACAAAGACTTCCTCCCCCCTCCTAAATCCCATTCATGCTGTTGAGAATCATTAAAATATGTACTAATATGCTTATATTCCTTAAAAATTATATCTCTTGAAGAATACTTACCCTTTAGGTAGAAAGAGATAGTTCAGGTTATGCTAAATAAATTATTACATGGGTTGCCTATGTGATAAATTGCCTAAGGCAATAAATATTAAATACATTTATTTGTCCATATACCTTAGGTCTCATTTAGCATCAGTGGATGGTGTTATACTGGATGAAGTTTTCAAAAACATCCTCAGAAAGATCCTAAAAAATTGGGACTAAAGCATTAAAGGGGCTCTAAATTAGGGTATTAAGGTTATTTGCCAAAAACCAAAGACATATGTCCCTTACCCATCTATTGATAAGAACAACACAGTTAAAGGACATTTGTACTTTCCGTAGAGAATAGTTAAAGGTAAAAGAGTGGTTGGTGATAGACAGGAGAGTGATAGCACCAACAATTATTGAGTGTCTCTTGTATCCCAGGTTCTTAAAAAAAATAAATAGCAGCTAATAATAGTTAAGCAGTCATTCTACTAAATTATTTATGTGGATTATTTCATTTATATAAATATAAAATTTATAGCCATAGCTATAAAGGAAGTGCTATTATTATCTCCAATCTATGTATAGAAAAAATGATATCTTGCAAAGTTAAGTAACTTTATTGCATTTAAAATGCAGACATCTGACTCCAGTGCTCTTAACTACTGTGTCAATTTACATGTGATAGCTTATTTTTTCCTCAAAACATACTTGTAGGCTGTATTTTTACATTTTTAGGATTATAAAATAGGGACTCAGAGTTTAAAAAACTTGCCTACTAGTAAGTACCTCATTAAATTTTAATTAATTAATTAATTAATTAATTAATTTTAAAGATTTTATTTATTCATGAGAGAGAGAGAGAGAGAGGCAGAGACACAGGCAGAGGGAGAAGCAGGCTCCATGCAGGGAACCTGATTTGGGACTTGATCCCGGGTCTCCAGGATCGTGCCCTGGACTGAAGGCAGTGCTAAACCACTGAGCTTCCCGGGCTGCCCTACCTCATTAAATTTTAAACCTAAATCTATAAACTTAGAGAGAATTGTTTAATATGGAGGGAAAATACATGTATTTAGAAGGGAAGATTAAGGCATATTTTAGAGAGCAGAAATCTATGTAAAATTATCACACAGAGGAGTTTTGTTGTATCTATGTGTTTTTAAGTATATATATTCCTATTTCAAGAAAGCGGCAAGTAGAAAATGATGTGGGAAATGTTTTCAGATTTCTTGTTTTCTGTATCTATGAGCTTGGTTTAGTTTTTCATTTTTCTTTTTGTAGATTCCACATTTAAGTGAAATCATACAGTATTTGTCTTTCTCTTTCTGGTTTATTTTACTTAGCATAATGCCTCAAGGTCTACCCATGTTTAAGCAAATGACAAAGTTTCATTCTTTTTTATGGCTGAATAATATTCTATTGCAGTAAATTTCTTTTTTAATAGAGAAAGAATTGCAAATTATATGTTGATAATAGTATTGATGTAGTTATACTGTCATGATATTTATTATTTCTTTATGTTTCAAGAAATTCCAACAAAGTCAAATATTTAAAGGAATTTTCAAACAATAGAATATTCCATTCATATTTGTGTTGTTTCTGAGGATAGGAGAAGGTTTTCTTTTTTCTTTTTCTTTTCCTTTCTATTCTTTTTCCTTCCTTCCTTCCTTCCTTCCTTCCTTCCTTCCTTCCTTCCTCTTTTATAGAGGGGGGCAAGGGGAGAGGAGCAGAGAGAGAATCTTAAGCAGGCTCCATGTCCAGCTTATGAGCCCAGCATGGGGCTGGATCTCACAACCCTAAGATCATGACCTGAGCTGAAATCAAGAGTCAGATGCTTAACTGACTGAACCAGCTAGGCACCCCAGGAGAAGATTCTCTAAGTAAAAATGTAGGAGGCATTTTATGGATCCAATAGAATTAAAACAAAGCCAATAATCGATGAGGCTACATGCAAAGGTAGCTTTATAGCTTGGGTTCCCTTGAAGCAGTCTATTAGACAGGGTTTAGTGTGCAGGGAATTTATTGAAAAGTGCCTTTGGAATAATGCCTATTTGTGTTCTCTGCCCATTCTTTTGGATCGTTTTTTGGTATTGAATTGTATAAGTTCTTTATATATTTTGCATATTAACCCCTTATTCATGCACTAATGGTGGGGATTAAGTTACTATAGCCACTATGGAAAACAGTATGGAGTTCCCTTAAAACATTAAAAATAGAAATACCATAAGATTCAATAATTCCACTAGAGGGTATTTACCCCCCCCCAAAAAAAACCCAAAAACACTAATTCTAAAAGATATATGTATTCTTATATTTATCACAATGTTATTAACAATAGCCAAGATGTGGAAACAACTTAAATGTCCATCAGTAGACAAATGGATAGGGAAGATGTGACACACACACACACACACACACACATGCACACTTACAATGGAATATTATGCAGTTACACAAAAGGATAAGATCTTGCCATTTGTGACAACATGGATGGATCTAGAGGGTATTGCACTAAGTGAAATAAGTAAGATTGAGAAAGACAAATACCATATATTTACTTATATGTGGAATCTTAAAAACAAAAACAACAAAACAAATGAACAAACAAACAAAAAGAAGAAACAGATCTATGAATACAGAGAACAGATTGATGGCTGCCAGAGGGAAGAAGGTATAAGGAGATAGGAAAAATGGATAAAGGAGTGTGGGAGATACAGGCTTCCAGGCAAAGAATGATTAAGACAGGAATAAAATGCATAGCATAGGTCAATTATATTGTAATAGTATTGTATGGTGTCAGATGGGAGCTACATTTGTGGTGAGCATAGGATAATGTTGAAACTTGTTGAATCACTATATTGTGTGTACAAAATAATGTAATATTGTGTGTCGACTATACTAAATTTTTTTTTAAAGATTTTTAAATTTATTCATGAGAGACATGGAGAGAGAGATAGAGGCAGAGACACAGGCAGAGGGAGAAGCAGGCCCCATGCAGGGACCCTGATGTGGAATTGAATCCAGGGACTCCAGGATCACACCCTGGGCCGCAACAACTGAGCCACCCAGGGATTCCCTGAAAAAGTTTTTAAAAAAGAAAAATGCTTTTGGAAATCAGGGAAATTAGAAAGGACTTTGCATGAGAAGTTGAACTATAATGGAGCCCGATGACCTTTCAGAATTGTTTTCAAATGGGCCAAGATAGTTAGGCCTTCTTACTTCTATATTTATCATTGACTGTGGGTATCCAGAAATGGGTGCTGGTCAAGGCAGCTCTATGCAGCTGAGGCAATCCTTGGAGAAGGCTGTTTACTATTAGCAATCTGGCAGCTGGACAAGAAGGGTGTCTGTTAGCAATCACCATACCCACTAAACAAAGTTCCTCATGTCTGATCATGTTCAAGTAGAGTCTTGATGACCGTTCCCTAGAAAAGCAGAAGAGGAAATTCCTGTTTTAGGGACAGTCATTGGTGTCCTTCAAGGTTCTTTCCAACTCTATTTTTCTATGAGCCAATAAAAATAGACATGACTTGACTTAGTGCTAGCCTAATTGACTTCTGAATGGAGATCAAACTCCATGAGACTGAGAGAAATTTGACACATTCAAAATAGGAAAGAAAAAAACCCTGTCAAACTTTTAGCTTGCTTTAGTACCCTTTTAACAGCAGGTAATAAGTAAGACAAGATTAAAGAAGACCATATATTAGTGAAATTATTAAGCATTGAGAAGACCATTGAAAACATAAAGAGTGACATTTTGGCAGAATCTCTTAGAATATGCTGTATTTAATTTTTCATCATGCAGTGAATATGTCCTGCATGCGCTAGTAAAAAAAAAAAAACAAACTAAACATGCATGTTTACCTTCTTAAGTATATCAGTTAATATTATTTCTGAAATAATAAAGTTGGGGACAAATTTGCAGATTGAAAGTCTACTATTGAAGCTGAACCATGCTTGTACTTTGTAAGAAGATAGGTGGAGGATAAATGTTGCCAATGTAAGAAAAAGAAAATCCCATATACTTATTTTTTCTAGACCTCAACATAGAGAAATGGATGTAATGAAATGACTGTGTTAAAAATGCTTAATGGGAATATTGGCAAAAAACCTTAAAAGATAAGTTTTTATTTATTTATTATTATTTTTTTTTTTTGAGCTTCCACCTCAGTGTTTTATTGAGACCAAGTGTTGGCGCAGATGAGGCACACGGAATCCAGCTCCATTCCCTGGAAGCCATCCACAAGGTTTTCCTTGTAGACATCATCGCTGTAGACAATCTGGGTCCTCTTGTCCCGATGGCAACCCTTAGGGCTATTCTGGACAGCGAGAGAGCCCCAGACAGACTTGCCAGTGGCAGCGTCCAGCATGGGCTGCTTGCGGGCAATGCTGACTTTGAGCTGTACAGACTCCACCTGGGTCCCATTGAGCTCAGCAACGGCCTGATCTGCTGACTCCATCTTTTCATAGGTGACGAAGGCACAGTTTCTGGGTGGGTCCATGGAGAGGTCAATGATGTTTCCAAAGGGAGAGAAGGCCCCACGAAGGAGGGTGGGCGTCATGTCCTCTCCATGGGGAGAGGGGAGAGTATTCCCCTTCCGAGGGGCCCTGCGTTCAGGGAACGAATCCGACCTGCGGAAAGGGCCCTCTCGTTCTCGATCGCGGTCCCTGTCCCGATCACGGTCTCGATCCCGTTCTCGATCACGGTCTCTGTCCCGGTTCCGCTCACGACTGTGGTCCCGGCTGCGGCTTCGTGGGGGGGGGGGGTCGAGGAGCGGGCACCACCACGTTCTTCATAGCCCCAGTCAAAGCTTCGAGGGGGACCATCACCAGCCCCTGGGCCCTCTGCCTCCTCCCCATCTGGCCCCAGTTCCCGAAGCCGATCACTGGAAGACACAAAACTCTCATACAGAGATTTCCTTTGGGGGCGTCTGGACGACTCCTGCAGATCATCATCGGCAGATATGCTTCTTTGGAACGGCTGGAAAGTGGGAACTGGCCCCTTCTCAGGGTCCTTTAACTTCCCCTCTAGGGTTCGAGAACGCTTGAAGCCTGAGTTCTTGGTCTCAGCCTTGATGGCACTGATGGCTCCTGACTTCACTAGCTGCTTTGCCTGCTCTGTTGCCGTGGCTGGGTCCACCACAGGCTGTTCCGACAGTGAGCGTTTCACACCGCCTTGGCTGGCTGTGCTGCTACTACTTTGCTTCTTCAGAGCCAGCAATGCCTTTTTCTTTTTCTTGAGTTTGTTGAATTTCTTCTGCAGAGCCTCCTCCTCCTCGCTCAGTCCGGGGGGGTATCACCAACATGGTGGCTCCTGAGGGGGCGGTAACCGGGGTCCCAAGTTTTTTTTTTAAATTGATGATAACATTTCTTACTATGATGAGGATACCAACAAGTACTTTGCTTGAAGTTTTGTAGTTTAATATCAGAAGCAGATTGCTCTGCACTCTGAGGAATTTGTTTACTTTTAACTGATTCAGTCTTCCATGAATATCATCCATCATTCTCAGTGGGGGCCATAGGAAAGACTTTTTTACTTCTGCTTCTTTCTCACCACAGACAGGTCATCTGTAGGATTTTAGGCTAAAGAAGCAGGCTTATTAGGGATATTAGCAGGATATTAGCTAATTTGAAGCGATTCAACAGTGGAGAGGAGGGTATTTTCTGAACCCTTCATACCCCACTGTTAGTAGGTCTTCATTTTAATGACTACTCCTCTCTCAGGAATGGACTATCTCAGCACCTGGAAGAATTCCAAGGTTGCAAACTTCCTTCAGAATGTTCAGTACATGTTATTTGGTTTGTCCTAAATCTGTCAATCGACGACACCAAAGTATGTTCGAATTATTTTGGTCCAAAATATAAGAAATGAAGTTCATTTCTCTCCCTTTTCTCTTCAATGAGTTGCTCTCCAAATGTATAAATATTTCCTTTCCTAGCCCACTTCTTTGTGTTTAGCCATGGTCATCTCCTTTTTCTTTTATCTCAGTAGGCTCTGAAATAGTTCTGTTCACTTGTTTTTAAAATTATTAGAGAACACAAGATCTATTTTGTACTATTTTACCTATTTTCTTTAGTCCAACCTCAATAATCTTTCTTTTTTTTCAGGATTATACCTCTTATTTCTTTATAACACTTTGCAGCTTTGTATAATAATTGGACTTTCCTGCAGACTTGAACCAAGGGGCTAATACTGGGAGTACTTTCTTTATCTTATCACTGAAGCACTTTATCAACCAACTCTAAAGCCCATTTCACTGAGGGGTTTTATTAAGTGAGCCAACTCATTTCCTTGTTTTAAATCTGAAAACATCTTACCTTTGACTGGAGTGAGTGTCAGGGTGATGTAATGCTCAAAAACGAATCTTTGTATCATCAAAAGGAGATGTCATGAAGACGTTGTATATCATTTTAAGGAGTTTGAATTAGAAGTTGAAAGCACTGGAGAGCTACTTTTTGGGGAAATTTTAAGTAAAGGAGTATAGCTTTTGAAGGAAGAATACAAGAGAGATATTTTCCTTGCTGCTCATAAATTTCAAGACCAGAAGTAGTTCTTTCCAATATAATCTAGAAGAAGGCTTGGATCTATCACTTGGATTTAGTTCAGAATTTAGTTCAGTTTTAGTCTGAAGAATACTTTCCCCAGGCTTTTTTTGTGGAAAGTAGGAAGGCAGACATTTCATTTGTTTAGTTATGCTTGGTTCCTTAAACCTCAATGAGAAGAAAACAAATAGAATTATTTAATTAAGTAACTGGGAGAACTTGAACCCTGTGGAACAAGCACTGACTATGCCTGTACTCTCTATTGTCCCAGATATTTCACTATGTAGCAACATCTGTTGTGCATTGATAGCTATCTGTTCTTCTTATGTTATGTATTTTTCTTGTTTTTATATCTGTGTCAACTACTAGATCAAGTATTTTTACAACCGGGTCCCTAGATTACCTGGATTAGAACACTTGAGGTGCTTGGATGTTTAACAAACTTCTCAGAAAAATCTTTTTATAATGTGTAGTAATGTACCAGAGATGCTGAGTATATATTTGCAGATTCATGGGGGATTAAAATTAGTAATCTGTGAGTTTTAGATACTTCGGCCGGAAGTCCAAGTGTATGAGTTTTAAGAAGAAAGGGAAGAGTCAGTCGTAAATTCTACCCCCAAGTATGTGTGTCCATTTTCATGTATTTTATTTTAGAAAAGCCCAAGGGCTACATTTCCCAATGAACACAATTATTTTAAGTTAATGATAAAATATAAAATTTGACTTTTATTTTTAAAATTTTCACTTCATTGGACTTATTTTATAATACCGTATATAAGGAAAAAGTAAAAATCTAATGGGTGGCTCAATATTATATTAATTTCAGTTATCAGCAGTAAGAGAGAGAAAAGATCTGGTGAACTGGGTCTTCAAGTATGAGATCATAACTATTTTCTTTGATTCATTGCTAAGTTAGAGAAGTTTCATAAACTCTGTTCCATTTCCTATTCTACAAAATAGATATAACATCTATTATCACCTAAGAAGGTGTAACAAAGGAATTTTATCATGCAATGATATATTTTGAGATCCTATGAAGAGAAGTTTAATTAAAGGAGATATTACTTGGGTCTGATTTTTGAAAACTGCGAGAATATTGGAAACCATTCAGTTCTATACATGCTGTATATATGTAGTATATTTTATTCTACAAAATTTCTGAAAAAGCACAGAAGTCTTCAGGTATTAATGAAAGTTTTTGCATCTAAAAATGCACTTTTTACTTCACCTGTAAGATCTCAGAAATGTCATTTATCTAGATTTCTTCTCTTGAAACGTAAATTTTTTTGAGCAAAATTTACCAACTTCTTAAAAATCAAAGACTTGGGGATCCCTGGGTGGCTCAGTGATTTAGTGCCTGGCTTCTGCCCAGGGCGTGATCCTGGAGTCCTGGGATCGAGTCCTGCGTCGGGACTCCCTTTGCCTGTGTCTCTGCCTCTCTCTCTCTGTGTGTGTCTTTCATGAATAAATAAATTTAAAAAAATCAAAGACTTAATTTTAAAACTGAAGCATATTCTTTTATGTTATAGTAAATAAGGGATAAATAGGATATTTTGAATACTTAGTATGATGAAAGCTTCCCAAAACTTTTTTTTTATTTTTGTACCTTCTATTTCTGCTTTTCTCTGAACTCTTCTTGTTTTCTGTAATTGAAATTGTGTTTTACCTCAAAACTATCTAGTTACTTGATTCTGTTTCTATCAGCTACAGTCTCTCTTCATTATTTTTTTTTTCTTTCTGTGCTCTGACAATATCTCTCTTTTTTGCTCCAATCAAGTCTAGGCACATTTTTAGGCTCCCCTGTCATTTTCATCTTTTTCTCCCATCCAAGAGCATTTCTATCACCTCACATTACATTAAAGTACATGTTTCCTGAATTTTGAGAGATCCATGCATAGGGACCATTATAGACCTTGGGTAAACTGGAATTTTTCTGAGTAATTATTTCTACAAGTTTGATGTTTGGTTAAACAACTATTGTTTGTGATTGAGTCAATAAACTATTAATTCTGGCCAGTTGGTTAGAATCACTGAGTAATCAGAAAAACCATGGTCTAAGCTATTGTGCAAGTGGGCAAGCATTTGTGTGGTTCCCAGTAATAAATCTTCAATCTTCTTTCTCTGTGGCATTGTCTCTGTTATGTTTTTTTTTTTTTATCAAATTCAGTTCAACTCAACAATTATTTGAGCACCTACCATCAGCTCAGCTACATGTTAATGTGTGTGTGTGTCTGTGTGTTTGTGTGTGTACTATTGTGCATATCCATGAAGAGCTTATGGTGGAGTTGGGTACATAGCCATGAGGAAACAACAAAGGTTGTATCTGCTACCTATTCATCTCTTATTTCGTCAGTTTTTAAAGATGAAACTCAGTATCTCCATCGAATTAAACCTTTTTTCCTAGTATCTCAAAGTACAATACTGTATGATACGATCCATTTGCAGTCCACTCTCACAGCATTTATTCATTAGTTGGTAAAATTTTACTATATCAATAGAAATATTCTTCTTAAGTTATTTATGTGCATTCTTTTACATGATAATTTATGTAATTTTCATAAATAAAAGCATTATTCTCAGGATAACAGCTATAACTTATTGAGCATTTACAAGTATCACAAATGCTGGTAAGAATTTTCTTTATTCAATCTTATTTGTTAAGCATGTACTACATACCAAGTACAGAAGATAGAAGAATGAAGATGTCCTATCCCTAAAGAGTTTGTATTCTGATTGGAGAAACTAGCTAGATGACCACAACAACAACAAATAAATAAGATAATTAAATATAAATAAATATTATGACAATTGGTACTAAAGGCAATGGGATAGTGAATAACATAAGATGTCCACTTTAAATAGAATGGTAAGGGAAGACATGTATAAGGAGATGCTGTATTTAAGAGATACTTCAGGAATAAAAAGGAGATGTTCATGTGGAGGGCTGGTAGAAGGGATTACAGTCTTGGACAAGAGCATATCCCATGACTGCAAAGGATTTTTTACAGATGTGAGGAAAGACAAGAGAATGGTGAATGAATGAGGGGGCAGACTTAGAGGAGGCAACTTTGGAGGATAAGGAGGAAATGAATTATGCTGGACAATGCTGGCTGTTTAGAAAGTCTAGTTTTTTCTTAAGGAGCACTAAGAAGAGCTCATTAAAGAATTTTTAAAGGGAAAGGATGTGATTTGATTAAATCTTTTAAAATGATTACACTGGAGAATGGCTTGGTGGTGGAAAGTGTAGATGCAGGGAGATTAGGCTTTGCATCTGTAAAATGATGGTGGCCTCAATGAAGTGGGGCATGGAGAACAATGAGAGAAGTAGAAAGGCTTGGCATACGTTCAGAGGAAGGCAAGTGGGACCTTGTGATCAAGTGAATAAAGGATGAGAAAAATGAGAAATCAAGGATCACATCAATTATTTGAATATTCACAACCATCTTATGAGGTGTTATTATCCACACTTTGAAGATAAGAAAATTGAGTCATTGAGAAGAGAAAAGCTCTACCCAAGGTCATACGCTGAGTAAGCAAGGCATGAGGATTGAACCATGGCAGACAATTGTATGGCACATGCCAACCACCATATTGAAAAACCACACATGTTGAAACCACACATGTTGAAACCACACATGTTGCAAAACATGTGACATATCTTTCCAAATGTGATACTTGGTTTTATGCTTTCCACTTCAAAATATTCCCATTTATGTTGAATTTGAGAACTCGCATAGCTCCAGAGTG